TTTTTTAATTTTGGGTTGGAAAAGTGGGGGTCGTCTTGTACATGGGGGCGTCTTATTGTCAGAAAAATACGGTATATGTATTTTAAAAGGCACTCACCAGGCAACCACTGTTGAATAGCAATCGCATCCAGGAAATCAGGAAAGGAAGTTTTAGTAACAAGCACTTTCATTTTCATCATTAATACTAGGAGAATGGCTTGAATTTAGGAAATACTATTACCATATTAAGCTTGCATGGGTATGATGAGAAATCACCTAGGAGCATAAATGACTCAGCTCTGAATGTGATGTGCAAAACTCAAATCTCATCCTGCTCACTGATATCTTTTAACTTATTTTTAATAAAAGTGCATGGTTGTTAGTCACCATTATTAAATACACACACCCATACACAGACGGACAATATGATCTGCAGAGCCGGGCACCCACTGCTTCAGGTTCTTAAATCAACAAAGCTGAGCTGAGCAAACAAAATCTGCCCTGAGCAGAAGCTTTAGTGATTATGTGCCTGCCCTCTGAGCAAATTTTTCCAAAGGAGAATGGAGCAACCTTTATTCAGTATATATATTTAGACTGCAAGCACTGATGTTCAAAAACATGAATAATCCTGTAATAGGAGTAGTTTACATTTTGGGGCATTAATACTCCTTTTATCACCATAGCAATCAAACAACTGATACAATACCTGCAAGATAGGAAGTATATCAGCCTACCCCGCCCCGCCCCACCCCATCTCCAAATAGTTATGCAGAATTTACTGAAGCCCAAACAAAACAAAGAGTAAGATACTTGGTGTAGCTGTTAAGGTAAGGGAGACCATGAAATCTAGTCCTCTCTTAGGCACCAAAGCCAGATGGATAACTTTAGGCCAGTCACTCTCTCTGCCCAACTCACCTCACAGGGTTGCTGTTATGGGGAAAACAGGAGGAGGGGGCATTATGTATACTATCTTGAGTTGTACAAAATAGGCAGAATATAAATGTTGTATCTTGATTCTAAGAATCAATATTCAGATAAACACACCCAGAGAATTTTCATTTTTCCAGGGTACCAAATTATTGCTTTTGCCTTTTCAATAGTTCCTGGTTTGCCTCCCTGTCCAACGACTCCAACTGAATGTTAAATAAAAGCAAAGCCATGACCTCGATATACCTGATGATTCATCCTAGCTTCCCATGTAGAAAACGCATACCTGATGCCCTATATCAATTTTTGTGAAGCTGAAAGTACTCAAGTGGCTGTTTGCTCCTCTCACTGCAGGCTCTATTGTTTCACGGAAGAGCTTCTCGATAAACTGGCAAATGAAAGGCCACATGTGTTTCACTGTCTGAAAAAGGAAAAGAAACCTCTAAGTTTTCAGTGTTAATCCATGATCATGCTATTAGCACCATTTCATTAAAAATGTGACCTTGTATATACTTTCCCATTTATATCACTTTACCTTAGCAGTCTCTTATTTTTATGGCCTCTTAATGCTACCTTATTACTACATAGTATTTTACTGTATACAGTGGTACCTCTACTTATGAACTTAATCCGTTCCGTGACTCTGATCGCAAGTCAAGTTGGTCGCAAGTCGAAGTAAATTTTCCCATAAGGTTCAATGTAATTACCGTTAATCCGTTCCGGTGTCCACGGACCACGCGTCGGGGCAGAAAAACGGCCGCTGACCACGCGGCAGGGCAGAAAAAATGGCTGCAGACCACGTGTCAGGGGCGGAAAAACAGCCGCAGACCACGTGGAACGGGCAGAAAATGGCCGTGGACCACGTGGAACAGGCGGAAAAATGGCCGCGGACCACGTGGAACGGGCGGAAAATGGCCGCGGACCACGTGGAACGGGCGGAAAATGGCCGCGGACCACATGGAACAGGCGGAAAATGGCCGCGGATCACATGGAACGGGCG